CGGTCTAACATGAATAATGAGAGAAATCACTAAAGTTCTCAAAAAAGCCATAAAATGTTTGGGGACTTCAATAGTTTTTCTGTGCTGGCGTACTGTTTACATAGGACTTGACGATTTTTGGCCATTTCATGAACATCCACTAAAACAAAAAAGCCATTTTTCTGTCTTAACGTAACTCCAAATTTACAAGAAATATCTTCCTAAGTATTTTCCTATCAATTTCCAGTATGAATATGGCGAAAAAAAGCACTTGGGACATTTCTTTCAAATATCTTCAGAGCTACATTTTGTGACATCCTCACGATATCGAAAAAACACGGCAGAAGAAGATTCAACCCACAAGTTCTCCCAACTCAAGTTTTTAGGTGTGAAATAGATTGAGAACAAGAAATAACAATTACATACAACTTCTTCTTGTATATCTTGTTTGTGTAATTGTTATTAATGGTGAGCCAAAGGCATACAGATCAATAAGTCGCTCATATTGTTTGTGTCTATCACTTATAGTGGGTCGTGTGAGTTGTACAGTTTATAAGTTTGTCATTACTTACTGTCATAAAATTAAAACGCATAGAAATAGTTACCAGTGCAGTTCATTCCATCTCCATGAAATCCATCCTTGCATGTGCAGTTATAGGATCCCCGGGTGTTGTTACACACAGCATTAACACTACAGTTGTGTGTTCCGTTAGTACACTCATCGATANGAAATCCACGGGATCACGTTCTGCTATTATCAGTCTCAATGCACAGATATTCATTTGAATTAGATAATTTAATTTCTCTCCGTGGCTCCATCTTCAGTAAGATGCATATTCCGTAGTGTTGCGAATAGCCTTCAACTGATGGCAAATATCTGCACTGAGCAACAGCAAATACACATTATTCAGTCTCACATGAATAGTGAGAGAAATCACTAAAGTTCTCAAAAAAGCCATAAAATGTTTGGGGACTTCAATAGTTTTTCTGTGCTGGCGTACTGTTTACATAGGACTTGATGATTTTTGGCCATTTCATGAACATCCACTAAAACACAAAAGCCACTTTTCTGTCTTAAACTAACTCCAAATTAACAAGAAATATCTACCTAAGTATTCTCCTATCAATTTCCAGTATAAATATGGCGAAAAGAAGCACTTGGGACATTTCTTTGAAATATTTTCAGAGCTACATTTTGTGACATTCTCACGATATCGAAAAAAAGGGGCAGAAGAAGATTCAACCCACAAGTTCCCCCAACTTATGTTTTCAGGTGTGAAATAGATTGAGAACAAGAAATTAAATAACAGTTACATACAACTTCCTCTTGTATATCTTGTTTGTGTAATTGTTATTAATGGCGAGCCAAAGGCATACAGATCAATAAGTCGCTCATATTGTTTGTGTCTATCACTTATAGTGGGTCGTGCGTGTTGTCCAGTTTATAAGTTTGTCATTACTTACTGTCATAAAATTAAAACGCATAGAAATAGTTACCAATGCAGTTCATTCCATCTCCATGAAATCCATCCTTGCATGTGCAGTTATAGGATCCCCAGGTGTTGTTACACACAGCATTAATACTACAGTTGTGTGTTCCGTTAGTACACTCATCGATATCTAAAGCAACAAAAGGAATCTAATTGCAAAACGTTTCATTGAATGGTGTGCTTACCAAACTTTTCGCCCTGACATAGTGTGTTATTGACGGCTCACATATAAATTATTGCATAGTTATATCCTCACACATACGATATAAAGTAACTTACCAATGTCTGACAAAATTAGTCGCTTTTGAATAATAGTTTCAACTAGATGCACGAGATTGTGTTACAGATAGTTACCAATGCAGTTTATTTCATCTCCATAAAATCCATCTTTGCAGGTGCAGTTATAGGATCCCCGGGTGTTGTTACACACAGCATAAACACCACAGCTGTGTGTTCCGTCGGTACACTCGTCGATATCTAAAACAATAAAAAAGATTCCTAAGGAANATGGTGTGCTTACCAAACTTTTCGCCCTGACATAGTGTGTTATTGACGGCTCACATATAAATTATTGCATTGTTATTTCCTCACATATACGATATAAAGTAACTTACCAATGTCTGATAAAATTAGTCGCTTTTGAATAATAGCTTCAACTAGATGCACGAGATTGTGTTACAGATAGTTACCAATGCACTTTATTCCATCTCCATAAAATCCATCTTCGCAAGTGCAGTTATAGGATCCCCGGGTGTTGTTACACACAGCATTAACACTACAGTTATGTGTTCCGTTGGTACACTCATCGATATCTAAAGTAACAAAAGGAATCTAATTGTAAAACGTTTCATTGAAATGGTGTGCTTACCAAACTTTTCACCCTGACATTAACTTCTCATTAACCGAGAGTGAGGTCTTTACTTTTCTCAGACTGAGACCTTGCCGTATTCATCGAGCGATAGCGAGGTCAATACGGCAACGCCAAGGTTTGAGTGTTTTCCGTTAAGACCGAACGTTCGAGGTTAATAAGCTGTTTATTATATGGCTTTTTGTATTGTTTTTGCAAGCCCGTAATCAGCCCGCGGGCATTACGGGAGTATAATGCCCTACAATTAGCCAATCAGAGCGCGCGTTATATCGACTACAAGAACAAGCCATATAATAAAGTGTGTTATTGCCGTCTCGCATATAGGTTATTGCATCGTTATCTCCTCACATATAAGTACGATATAAAGTAACTTACCAATGTCTGATAAAATAACTCGCTTTTGAATAATACTGAGTTTCAACTAGATGCACGAGATTGTGTTACAGATAGTTACCGATGCACTTTATTCCATCTCCATAAAATCCATCTTTGCACATGCAGTTATAGGATGCCGGTGTATTGTTACACACAGCATAAACACCACAGCTGTGTGTTCCGTCGGTACACTCGTCGATATCTAAAGCAATAAAAAAGACTCCTAAGGAATATCTGCATCGTAACGGCAATTACTATTAAAATATGTCACCGGAGATCAATTGTTATTATATTCCGTGTAATCTCCCAGTATGTTCTGCCTGTTAAACTTCTGAACAAGATTCGACAACAGCGGCAGTAGTAATAGCAACCACAACAACAACAACAATGATTGCAGCAACAGAAAGCCAACTTTCATAGTTACAAGTCCCTATTATAACTTCTCATTCTTGGTATTTAAGCCCCCAATCAAAATTCTCATTGTTAAGTTGAGTAAGACCACTCATTGTAATAGATTGTATTGGTACCGTGTTCACAGTCATGGCCAGTAAATCCGGGAATACACAAACACTGGTAATCTCTGTCTGTAAAACCGGCCTGGCAGGTTGCGTTGTTCTTGCAAGGTTTCTTTGCACAAGCATTCTTCAAAGAAAAGCACAAAAATAGCTGTTACAACAGTGACATCCATTGGCTATATTTAACAGTTATTAAAACATTTATAAACTAAACAGTTGATCAAAATTCGATAATAATAATTATAATATATGAGGGTCACTGAGTTTGTTTTGAGATATTAGTAGTTAAAATAAAGTGTATTTTCAGCAGATCATACTGTTGCTATGGTAACCTATTGTATCATGATTGTAATGTGTTTACTAATGATTGGACAGTTTTTTTAAAAAACATGATTGTAGCAACTGATAAAGAGTGGTTACAATGCCGGACCCATCGAAACCTAATTCTTAGAAAGTGTTGGAAACTGTTGCCAGCCACCTTCAGTTATTATCTCCAACTTTTAAATTTTATGATTACCTCAGCTTCCCGATGCACATAACTTTCGTTCTTCGCGAGGTCACCTGAGTGTATGTTGTGTTCAGAAGTAGCGTTGTTCAGATCACATTTGTGTTGTCCATTTGCCTCTTCCT